CACCCATTGTGGGTTTTGAGTACCTGGCTGATCTTCTGCGCAGCCTGCAGCCACCACCCAGTCACTGCCCCCCACCCCCCAGAGAGCACCAGCTCGGTGCAGAGTAGCCTCTCACCTCCAGCCCCTCCCAGCCTCTTCTCTCCCGCAGCTGCTCCACTCTGGTTGTCACCCGTCGCCTCCTCTGAGGCTCTTTATCGAAGTCACCCTTGAGCCCAGTGTTGCTAAACCCAACGATTAGAACTCAGCCCCCTCTTTACTGAGCTGTCGGTGGCAGTGACCCAGCTGAGTGCTTCCATCCAGGACACACCTTTCTCTCCCAACTGGGAGGGATTGTACCCTCTGCCTCCCCCCAACCCCATGCCTGCTCCTCCCCAGTCCTCCTGGCTGGCGCCTCCTCTGCACCCGACCCCCTAACAGGAGAGCCCTGGACTTAGTCCTGGAACCCCTCTACCCACCCCCTCCCTGGGGAATTTCCTGTCGTCACCCGTTCGATAAACAACCATTTCTCCCCGGCTTTCCAGAGCTTGCATCTCCAGACCCTTTCACCTGGTCTTTGCCTGCCGGGTGTCGGATAGATCCCTGAAAGCCAGCTGCACGCTCAGTCTCCCCCATAAAACCTGCCTCTACTCCAGTCACCTTTTCTAGCACGAGAACTCAGGGTGGATACTCCGCAGACTTCTCTGTGAGTCTGTCTTTGGCCGACTCAAAGGCCTGGGCTGCCGCTGCTGCTCAGGCTCCTTCCTGTGCTTTCCAGTTTGAAACTGGACTCAGGACGAAGGTCGAGCTCAGGACAGCGGGCGTATCGGTTAGGACTGGGTTCGGCTGCATGGAACAGAAAATCCCAGCATCATAGTGGCCCAAAGGAGATGATTCTTGTTTCCGTAAAGGAGACCCACGGGGACGCTCTCCTGGGAGGTGTGGCAGCCCCAAAGTCATCAGAGACTTGGGCTCTTCTGCCATCTTTAACATGTTTCCTTACAGTCCAGGATGGCTGCCTAAGTTCCTGCCATCATCTCCTGAGTCCAGGCAGCAGAACGGAAAAGAAAAGAAGGGTGCGCCCTCCCGTACACATAGACTGTCCATCAGCCCCACAGCCGGCCACTCGTTGACGCACCCAGCTGCTGTGGAGGCTGGGAAAGGCCACCTTTCAAATGAGCAGCAATAGGCCCAACTTACGGTCCGTGTTCTGTGTCCTCAGGAGAAAGGGAGGGTGCAGACTGAAAAGCAACCAGCAGAACTCGCCACGCGGCCCTGAACTTGAAGCACAAGCCATCAGAGCGTGACTTGGCAGAAATCCTTAGGAGACTAGCTTTAATCAGAATTAAAAGGAAAAGAATGTACTTTAATTAACACACATTAGGGATTTACGTAAATGAAGCCTCCTCCCTGGTGGTTGAGAGTGTCAGACTAGTGTGTGTATGACGGAGTCTCAATCTCTGCGTGTAACCTCACTTCTGTCCATAAACGACTCGCCCAGAGAAGGTTCCTTACGGAACGAGACAGGCAGGTCCTAATTAGTGAAGTTAAAAATCAATGCTGAAAAACTCGGGAAGGTTGGGAATTAAATCCCACTGCCCGCATGTGTGGGTTTACACCGTTAAAATGAAGCAGAGATACTGAAAGCATGTTTTAGAGTCGGAAGAACCTGAATGCCTATTTCCTGCCCCCAAGGTGTGAGTCCTTTGGCTGAGTCCATGGGAATGCAGGGCTCAGGTGTCTCTTCCTGATGCCTCCCTCAGGCACAGCTGCTCTCAGTTGCAGGAGGGGCGGTCGACATCCAGCTGGGCTCCACAGGACCTCTCTCTCCTCTCACAAGCCCCCAGACTCCCCCCTGCACCCTCCCCTGGGCTCACCCATTCAGTGCTTCCGGTTCATGCATCCAAGCCCACTGGAGGGGGGGGGTGTTGGGTGGTCCTCTTGCTGCTCCTGACTTGCCTCATCACCAAAGGGCCCCTTGGGTCATCCTCTCTTCAGAATGTTCCAGCTACAGCACAGGAGGGGGGGCAGCTCCTGCTACACTCGCTGTCCCACCCGCTGTCCCGGCCACACCTGGTGCAGGGAGGGATGTGTCTGGCTGGTCCCCCCAGGCAGAGCCCAGTCCAAGGCAGACGCAGGAAGGCAGATGGAGGGCCCCATCCCAGGGCAGGCCCCACATGACCATTATGGGGTGGGGGGCAAGGATAAACTCCACCCTCAGCATCGTTTCTGTAAAAATAGACCCTTTGCCTAAGGCTGGTTCCTTCCCTGTGAGCCGCGGAGGGTGTGGGCGTGTTTTCCTTCATCACACAGAGGGAGCCTCTTTCCCGCAGTTGTCATAGTCGTCGCTGGTCCTGAGAGGTCGTGGGGTCAGGCAGAGCGGGTGCTGGAAGGACTGGGCCTCGGGGGCCCCCACAGGTGGAAAATACCTCTTGCGGATAGGGAGCCTGACCGCCCATCCCAGCCCCCAGCTCAGCATGGGTCTGTCCTCAGCCACACTCACTTGCTCAGTAGACGTTATTGTGTCTATCATTTTCCAGTTAAATGAGAATAATAAGGACGTCTGTTCAACTGTCGGATTTGCTGAAGCAAAGGCTTAAAATAGCGGGCCTATGGTCTTTGGGCGGGTCTGTCTCTGCGTGTCAAAGGCGACGTCCACATGGAAACTGAAGGCACTGTTTAGGGTCCCGGGCCCCTCTGCACGTTTCTGCGCCGATACTCGTTCCGGACTTTCCGGACGAGGGCGGAGAGGCCAGGCGTTCGCGGACAAGCCAGGCCCCGGCCCCCGCCGCTCATGCGGTGTCGTAGGAGCTCGGGTGGCTTCGGAGGAGGCACAGAGAAGGGGGGAGCTATGGCAGGAGGAAGGAAGGCTTCGCTGGTCGGGTTTGAACCGGGTTCGAGGGGAGAGCAGAGTGTGGGAGGGTCAGGGACACGTGTGCGGGGCGTCTGAGCCGGGAGGAGCCTGAGTAGACTGA